TAGGAGTATCAGCGGGAAAACCACCCAACATACCTGTTTCTTTTAACAAGTCCAACACATATTTTCTTTGAAACAAACTTATACCTTTCTTGGATCTAGCAACTTCAATACCCAAGAAATATCTAAGTTGACCCAGGTCCTTAAGTGTGAAACCAATTTTACAGAAACAATTTCAACTTAACAATGCCTTCAGAATCATTGCCTGTAATCACAATATCGTCCACATACACCACAAGAAGAATGAAGCCAGCATTGGTGTGCTGGTGCAATACCGAGTGATCAGTCTGGCATCTCTTAAGACCAAATGCTAATGCAACCTCAGGGAATTTTCCAAACCAAGCCCTTGGAGATTGTTTTAATCGATATAAGACCTTCCTAAGACGACAACCAGTATGGTGATACTCCCCCTGAGCAACAAACCCAGTTGGTTGCTCCATATAAACTTCTTCATTTAAGTCACCACGTAAGAAGGCATTTTTCACATCTAATTGAAACAACGGCCACTTACAATTGGCAGCAATGGAGATGAGGACTCGGATAAAAAAGATCTTAGCAACAGGAGAAAATGTCTCATCATAATCAATACCATAGGTCTGAGTGTACCCTTTTGCCACAAGACGAGCCTTCAACCGTTCAATAGACCCATCATGACGGTATTTAACAGTGTAGACCCACTTACAACCAACCGTTTTGGATCTCGGTGGTAAGGAAACAAGATCCCATGTCCGATTACGGTGAAGCGCATCCATTTCATCTACCATGGCTTAGTGCCAATCCGAATTAGAGAGAGCAGCCTGCAATGTCTTGGGAACAAAAGTAGCTGATACTTTGGATAAAAAACATGAGAAAGAGGATGAAACATTACTGTAAGAGACAAAGTTAGAAATGGGATGTGCAGTAACACATGATCAGGGAGCCTTACGAAGAGCAATAGGAAATTCATCAGGTATAGTAGGTGGTGTCGGATCCAATGACTCCAAAGAAGATCATAGTTGTTAAAAGAGCCGAAGGCGCGCGCCCGAGGCGCAGGGCACCTACTAGCGCAAGTCATGCGCCTGAAAGGGACTAAGGCGCGGCCCTTTGCACAAACGCGCGCCTTTACGGTAGAGGCGCAAGGCGCCAAGCGCACCAAAGGCGCGCCTTCTTTAACCTCGTCTTTTTATTTGTTATTTGTTATTTTTTTATTATTTGTTATTTGTTTATTATTTGTTATGTGTTTATTGTTACTGTTTTGGACAACTTTACAAAATGAAAAACAATAAAATAAAAGGAAAAGCAAAAGGAAAGTGACTTCAAGCAAAGAGAAAGACAGAGGGCTAGGGCTTGCGATCTGCTGAGTGCTGACTGCTGACTGCTGACTGCTCTCTCACGAATCCAGGTAAGTTCTCTCCTTCTTCTCTCTTCTTCTTCTCTCCTTCAGCAAATCTCCTTCTTTTCTCTCTCTTTTTTTCTCTCTCTTCTTTTCTCTCTTCTTCTTCTTCTTCTTCTTCTTCTTCTTTTCTCTCTCTTCTTTTCTCTCTTTTTCTTCTTCTCTCTTCTTTGGCAGAATTATTCTCTCTTCTTTTCTCTCTCTTTCTTCTTCTTCTTCTTCTTCTTCTTCTTCTTCTTCTTCGGCAGAACTTATTTAAGTTTGGCATTTAAAATTTAATTTTCCAAAACTTACAGATTTTTTAATCAAAGTAGTGTTTTGGTTTCAATTTTCATTTAATCCTTTATCTCCTTTGTGATCAATTTGAATCTAATTTCATTGGTCTTTTTTCTGATTATGAAGATCTCAGCCTTGCTAGGATTGCTATTTATATAATTGTTGTGTTCCAAGTGTATAGATATTATATATAGTACGATAAAATCATAAAAACAGTACTGATGAACAATAAGGAAAATTACAAAGATTTTTTTTTTTTAATTTGAAATGTTAATATTGCTTTGAAATTGAAATCTGGTTTTGCTAATTGACATGAAATCTAGTTTTGCTAATTGAAATCAAGTTTATTTTGCTAATTGAAATCTGGTTTATTTTGTTACAACACCTTTATGTTGAATATTGAACTTAAGTAATTGATTTAGTTTACTTTTGCATCTTTATATATACTATTGCATCATTATTGGGTGGTTTTTTTTTTTTTTTTTTTTTTTTTTCCATTGTGCACCTTGCTTTAGTCGGGCGCGCGCCTCGCCTTGCGCCTCAGGCTCAAGGAGGCCTTTGCGCTTTTGTGCGCCTTGAGTCTTTAACAACTATGAAGAAGATGGAGGGAGTGAACTAGGCAGTCGGGAGCGCCGAGTATAAACCCGCAATGGGACAACAGAGCGTGGAGGATTGTAGCAACGATACAATCTGGGTGCAAGAATACCCAAGGAAAACACACTTAGTGGCACGAGAGTCGAGTTTGTCAAGACCGGGTCCAAGGCTATGGACATAACAAACACACCCAAAGACCCGAGGAGGAAGATTAAACGACGCCGAATCGGGAAATAAGACAGAATGAGGAGATTTCCCTTGTAACACCGACAAGAGCATCCGATTAATAAGATGATAGGCCGTAAGAACAGCATCACTCCAAAATCGTTTGGGAACTTGCATATGGAATACAAGGGCACGACACACTTCCAAGAGACGACGATTTTTACGTTCAGCGACTCCATTTTGTTGAGGAGTATAAGTGTAAGATGATTGATGAATGATGCCCTTAGCTTGAAAATAAGTCGTAAAAGGGTCCGAGAAATATTCTTTGGCATTGCCAGGACGTAAAACTTTAATGGAACACCCAAATTGGGTTTTCATTTGTTTTCAAAATATTTGAAAAATAGAGAATAACTCAAAACGATTTTTCATTAAAAACAACCAAGTCATACGAGAATTAGCGTCCACAAATGTCACAAAATAACGAAATCCATTAATAAAAATATGTTTGATTGGTCCTCATACATCTGAATGAACCAATTCAAAAGGATTAGCAACACAATTATGAACTCTAGGTTTGAAGGACACACAACAATGCTTACTAAGCTGACATGCTTCACAAGACAATGACTCAACACGACTAAGACCGGGGACTTGACGTTGCAAAATGGATAATGATGGGTGGCCAAGACAACAGTGCCACTGGAAGGAAGACAAGGACGACTGAAGAGCCGTGGGAGATGGGTCAAAATCAAGGTAATACAAGCCACCAACTTCATGTCCCGTACCAATCTTCTTCTTCGTCATGAGATCCTGAAAAATACAACATGTGGGATAAAATGTAACGGAGTAATGAAGAGATTTAGTAATTTTACTAATAGACAGCAAATTAAAAGGAAATTGAAGAACATATAAGACAGAGGAGAGAGACAAAGAAGATGTGAGATGAGTGGTTCCTAAACCCGAAACTTTATTGGATAAGCCATTAGCAAGAGTAACATTTTGAGATGAAGGAGCAAAATGGAAATCAGATAAGAGATGATAGCTACCAATCAAGTGATCAGATGCTCCAGAGTCAAGACTCCAGGGATTCAAACGAGAGGACAAGAGACATGCAGGCGCACTACCGAATTGGGCAAATGAAACCATGGACGATGGGGTAGAAGTCCGTTGTTGAGACATAAGCTGAGCACCCCCTTGTTCCCATAAAGCGAAATCGGCGTCACCATCTTTAGGTTTATCTGAGCACCCCCTTGTTCCCATAAAGCGAAATCGGCGTCACCATCTTTAGGTTTATCCTTAACTAAATGGGTGCCAAAGCCTTTGGCTTTCAAGAAAATGGCGACTGACTTGGCCCATAAGACATAATTCTTGCTATTGAGCTTTACTGAAGTCATGGGAAAATTGAGAGAAGCAGAGGAAGAGAGCAAGTCTGTGGTGGCTATACCGAACCAGGAACCCAGAAGAGGAGAAGAGGAGAAGAGAAACTGACCAAAAAAAAATTATCAAACCTGAAGAAGACAGGCCTGAATCTAGATTCAGGCCGAATCTGTAGGCGGGTATTCGGGCCGAAGCTGTAGGCAGGTACTCGGGCCGAATCTAGGTAACCAAGTTTTATACGGATCCGGTGTAGTTGGACACTCGGTCAGAATAGGATAAACTGGGTTTGGACAACACAAGCCAGTGGCCAAACACCCCACAACGACTTCGTCTTCTTTACCGAGCTCTGCAACTCCCAGCCAGAAAAGAAAAACACTGACCAACGAACCGATTCACAAGAAGCGAGCAATTCTGCAACTCAACGGGTGATGGCGAAGACTACAAATCAACCGCCAACCACAAATCAGGCACGGATGGCAAGCTGTAAAGAAGAGAAAAGAGGTCGCGATCACGACTCTGCCGACGAAGACAAACTGGCGAAAGAACCAATGAAGCTTCACGGATGGAAGCTTTGTAACTCGCCAAGCAAATTCGCAAATGGGACCCTATAGCCTCTGCAACTCTCCAAGCAATCACACTCACAATGGCGGATTGTCTGATACCATGTAGAAACTAAAGAGAGAGATAGAGAAAACAATGGAGGCGCTGTGCCTTTTTCCCTTTTGTTGTCAATCTCATGAGCCCTAATACATAAGGGGCTTAAACGTCACATATTATAGAGAATTACAGAATACCCCAACTATAAATATAATTACATTCTAACATTATAAAAGAATAGCCTAACATGATACGCTTCAATGGAAAATAATTTTCAAAGAAAAAAAAAATTAGGTACCTGTTCTACAAGCAAGATATGATACAACTCCTTATAATTATTTAAAAAAGATTCTCTGAAAAATCTAGATGTAGGATAGGAACAAAAAATTTGTGATCCAAAGATAGAACTGCAAGTTAATAAACATGAATTGATCAAAGTATAGCTATTCTTGTATATATTCTTGAATATAACCTCACAATTTTATTTCTCAAGCCAAACATAGTTGCAAATAAGAACAACAAACTGTGTAGACAACTCACTTTTTATGAAGTACATTAGTACATGACCACATAAGGTGAGGGAGAATGATGAAAATTTAAATTGAAAGATAAAAGAAATTACCTCTCCTAGATGATCAAAGGCCCCAATAACGCCACCACAGAGAGTTGAAAATATAGCGTACCAAATTTGAGTATCCAAAAAATAAAGCTGCAACAAAACTTGTAAAGTCATACAAGAAACTTTCCCATGAACAAACTATTACCTGAACACCTTGAGATGAGAAAACTAATATATATTTAAATGAAATAAGGAAATGGATATTAGTAAGACACACCAAGATTATCGGTGCCCAGAGTGAAGCAATTGCTCCATAGTGGTGTTTAGCTGCGTAGAAATGTAGACCAAACAATTTTTACTTGAAACTAAAATGTTGAGAAGAAGAGCATTAAAAGAAAGACAGAGAGTAGATGGATACCGTCTGGGAAAAATTCATGCCAAGTATATTGAACACGCTTAATATTCATTACATCTCTTGTTGGCTTGACTAGAGGTTTTATCTGGAAAATGTAGACAACGAGATTGAGTTATAAGAATGATAAAATAAAAGATTTCTCAACTACCATCTTATCAAAAGTCTAAAAAGGAAAAAAGATGTGGCAACTACCGTAAAAAAAAAGCTAAATGCTAACTTGCAACACACAAGTACCACCCAAAAGAGAGTGTACCTGAAATTGTTGAAGGTCCAACGGTAAAAAGCTTCAATTAGTTAAACAAATTAAAGTTTATAGCAGTATAAAATTTGAGTATAACATAAATTGCATTACTCACTAAACTCACTTTACAAGTGAAAATTGACTCTCATGCATTCCTCTTCCGACATAAATTCTGGGCTGTAGAGAAGTGAAAACATTAATTCAGAAGATAAAACATTTATTTATAGCTTCAGTATTTGAAAGTCAAATGAAAGAGATTTCAAAACCGTGCAGCACTTCTAATTTTAAAATTGATTGTTATTTAATGACTAGCCGTTTTTAAGAGCAAGGCAGAAGAAATTGGTGTTCATTAATGACTATAGAGGTTTTTAAGTTATGTTGGGATGATAACCATGAGAAAGCGTCCCTGTACAATTGGTATGAAAAAAAAATTATTATTGTAGAATTAAAGTGATATGAACCTTGAATAACTGATGTGGAAATTCTTGAACTGTTCAAGGAAGTACTTAGAAATTTATCTCATGCATCTTTGAGAGACACCAAACCTTGATGCCTGAACCACATCCGATCCCTGAATTTAAGCTCTTTCTCTGAAAGTGTCTTAAAGCATATGTCAGTTCAAGACATCTGTTTAAGGTCCCAACTGAAGCTTATTTGGAATTACAAACTTGAGTTTCTTTTTTATAGACTAATATTACAACGAATTTTACCTAGCAAATATTAATCCTGAAGGACCACCAAATTTAATGACACAATGGGAGATTTGCAGATAGATCATATAAAGTACCATATTGAAATCACTACAATCTATGGCCAATAATTGATGAATATTGTTGAAATAAAACCAGATATAATATAAGTATACTGTTGAACAAATTAATATTAAGTTTCTAAGAGAAATTCAAGTATTATAAACAATGATATAAACAGATTTTACGAAAAAGAAAGCTCTTTTCCTGCAACAGTAATATAAGTTCAGCACCTAGTAATATCTTTGTGTATGTTTATATGAGCAAGTGGAATTTATAATTGAGATGAAAATCAGTATATCAGAAATACAAAAATTAAATCAGTAATACTTGTTAATATGCCATGCACTAGAAAGTACGGAAGTTTTTGAAATGTGACAATTGAAATTTAGGTCACATTTTCAATCACATAAATCATGCTACAAACACTTCCCACCAGTTAATCAAATGAACTTGAATGGAACGTGCATTAGCATAGAAGAGAAAAAGAGTGCAACAAAATTACCTGTGACCACCAAAGAAGAAACCTTATGATATGCCAGTCTGAGTTCTCAATCCAACGACGGAGCATTGGGAAAACAAATAAAACTGCTGCCAGTAAATTCGGAAGCAAATATAAAGCCACAACTGTGATGTATAATGGGGGAACACCATTCACTTGATTAAGGAATGACATCACATCTTTAAGTTTGTCAGGAGCAAACTGGTTGCTACGCATGTAACATAGTGGAAGAACGATGACCCATACAAGACTAACAACTATCTTGAGAATGTTTCTCATCACATCAGTGAACTTCCATCTATGATAGCTCGGAAAGTTCAAAAGAAGGTCCAAAATACCTAATATCAGTATAAAGAAAGAAATAAAATTAATAATAACCATGTCTTAATGCATAAAACTCCATGTACAAAATTGAAAATGAAGACCAACGAATCATGCAGAATTTTCATGTCTGCCAAATCAACAAGAAATCTCTGCAACTAAATACACCACACATTTTGACAACAGTCTTTAAATTCCAAGTACAACATAAGATAGGAGAACGAAGATTTGGGAGTAAGAGATTCATTCTATTAGAAGAACCTATAAAACACACCATTGGTATATATGGTGTGATGCAGTCAATGATTTTATCAACTTTGTGATTTTTGGAAACTTGACATATTCTGTTTTTCTGGAAACTGTCCATGTTCTGATTTTTGGAAACTTGCTGATTTTAAGTAATTTCAGATTTTTATTATTTTTCCTTTATTGTAATAAAGCCAATTATAGTAGGATTGCTAGGAGACTCTATATAAAGGGTGGCTAGGGTATTGGAAAGAGCGGCGATGAATAATATTCTTAATAGAATTGCAGCAACGATTATTTGCTTGTCTTTTTCTACTTGTTCTAGCATTCCTTTCCTTCTTCATTTATTTTTCTCTTGCTTTAGACAACAATTGTTTGCCCTCTCTTGATAAGGCGGCATCAGTTTGGTATCAGAGCATAGCAAGGACAGAGCCAGGATTTCAAATCAGGGGGCACGGTGCAACATATATATGTATATATTGTTGTCAGGGGCTTATTTGTTATTAATTATATAATGTTGGGACTTATGTGTAATTTCTGAAACTTGTTATTATAAATAGAATGTGGTGGAAGGATGAAAGTATTCTTTCATTCTTTCTCTCTTTCCCAATCTCTTTCTCTTTTTCTCTCATCCGCTTTCTTCCCTTTTTCTTCTTCTTCTTCATCACTTACTTTTGATTTTTTTTTTTTCTTAGAGCATGTGTATCGGCCCCACAATACACGCACTATTCAAGTCAGGAGTGCGGTTCGAAAGCGAGACCTCAAGGACTTATCTCCACTTACTCTTGATTTGATTATATCTTAAAGTCAACATGGTATCAGAGCATGGTTTGTAAAGCTACAGGGGTGTAGTTGAAACCTTAGGGCAAGTTTATGTAAACCCTAGTGGGTGTGAAGGGTTTTGAAGAAATTCCAAGATGGGATTTGTTTGGACCTAATTTTTATCTATTGTAGTCTCGATTGGTGTCTTTTTTGTGTTCACGGGGTTCTGCAACAACGGCTTTTTCTTCGTCGTTCGCGATTCGGGTATGGTCTACTTTGTTGCTTTCTAGGGTTTGTGTGGTGACTGTGTGGTCGTTTTTTTATGCATCTTAGAAGACAGTAATCTTTCTAGTTGAAGTTTGTGTGTTAGAGAGGTGGTTCTCTACATATTTTGTTCTTTTTGTTTCTAAGGATTGTATACCCAGAAACTGTTTGATAAAATGTCTGGCTCAGAGGTGACTTCAAAAGAAGCCGGGTCTTCTCTTAGTCTGACTCCAATATTGGGAGGTAGTAATGATCACCATCTTGGCCTTTGTATTTCGACAGTTAGGCTGGATGAAACGAACTATATGAAGTGGGCTCAATCTGCTCATATGCATATCACTGGTCATAGGATGATCAACTATATCGAAGGGACTGTCACGTATCCCTCCAAGAGCGATCCTGAATTCAAAGAGTGGAGTGCAAATAATGCACTAGTTATGACGTGGTTGTTGCAGTCAATGCAGCCATAGATAAGCAAAGGGTTTCCGTTTGTTAAAACAGCTAAAGAGCTATGGATGGCTGTGGAAGAGACGTATTCCTCGGTTGGTAATTTTGTAAAATTGTATGAACTCTAACAACAGATTTCAAGATACAAGCCCAATCCTCTAAAAGGAGGGAAACGGGATGACAAGAGCAAGTTGAGGTGTGATCAGGGCGTACGCGCCACACTAGGGAAACATGATGGAATCTACATGGTCGCCCTACTCCAGCTCATGCTCATGTGAATGCTAGGCCAAAGACTCCATTTAGGGGGTTATCTATTGCACATACTGCGGAGCGTGAGACTGCTTCTACTGGTCGTGCCTCATCAGGGCCACCGAGTTCTTTGTCCGGGGCTGAAGATGCAAGAAATTCATTCTCCTTTCTCTCTCTAGAATTCTTACACTCCAATCAAAAAATCCCCTTCTTATCCACCCGTAATGGTCTATTTATAGACCATTACAAATATTCTAACTAATTGATTACATAGGGCTCCTATTCAAGGGTTTTCTTCCTTTTGGGCCTGACTTTCCAATGGGCTTGATCTTCTTCAGTGGATCCTCCAAGCTCGGCCCATTCCATGGTGCTTTTGCATGGGCCATACTTCAATTGTTTGACTCGATCCCATGCCAGCGAGCCATAACCGGCCCATGCCACTTATTGCATCCTCAACTGCCCCCATAATTACTCCCTATTGATTAGGGGGTAATTATTAGAGGCTGCTAATCATGACCTGACGACTGGAGAAGATCGCGTGGGAGAATGGACAGTTAGATTTGGGAGTCGACGTTTCGAGATTCAAAAAACTCCTCGCTTTCCTAACTCCTCGGCCCTCGGGCCCACCTTGTCTTTATAAGCCTCATAGATGTTCCATCAATTCTCTTTACCATCTCCATCTCACTTTTTGTTGTTCGAATCTTCTCCAGCGATTTCTTGCAAAAGATCCTCCTTCCAACGACCTTGCAGTACTCTTTGCCGTTCTCACTTTCTAAGGTTAGTTTCATTTGCATTTTTCTTTCGGAAAACCTCTTTCTCTTCCTTAAAATCTTCATTCATTCTCACCATGACTGTAAATCTAGATGTTCTTCGCATGAAACTTCACCTCCCTGACGATATACAAATTAGAAATTGCCCTAGAGAGGTCAATATTAGAACCGGTGCTGGCCTTCTTCCCGGCGAGGTTCTGTTTTCACACCTTCATCTTAACCTCCTTAAGTTCCCTTTACATCCCTTCTTTTGCTACGTTTTCAACAAACTGAAACTTTCCTCTTTGCAAGTAAACCCAAATTTCCTTACGATTTTGTCTGTTATGCTACTTCTGATCCGTGACAGAGGTCTAGATCTGGACCTCATAGATCTTCTCCTCTGTTACAAGGTTAGCAAGATCAGAACTGATGAACCGTTTTACCACTTTTTCCCCATTGAGAAGAGGTCCATCTGCATAGATAAAATCAAATCCGAGAAGGGTTGGAGGAAAAATATAATTGGGGTTAGGGGAGCCTGGTTTCCTCCAGCTGCGGAGGATTTCCCTATCCCGAGCGCTTTTGGAGAGCGCTCTGTCTCTTCTTACAAGAAATACAAAACCCATAAGAGTGACTGTCCTTGCGAGATTTGCATTCCCCGTTTTTGTACTTTCTTGTGCCGTTCCTTAGGCATTCCTTGTGATGATTTGAGCTACGGTGTGTGCAGGGATAGGGATAACTACCTGAAGCAGTACGTTCTGACCAACGTTCCCTCCTGCTCAGACCTCCTCACTTCAGACAACCTCCTTGCTCTCTCAGCCCTCGGCAAGACAATGAGTCAACTCCAGATCCCTTCCTTTGGCAGGAGGAAAACTGCCCCCAAGCCTATTATCACCCCTGCAGCAAATTCTTCACCAGCTTCAGCATCTTCCTCTGCTACCCTTTCTGATACCACTCCTTCCACCGATCCGATCGTGACAGCTACTGACCCAATCTCCAACACAGCGACCGTCAGTCCAAACGTAACCCCCTCTGTCAACAATCTTGCCGGCTCTACTACTGCTTCCGCACGGGAAAAGGCAAGAGGAAAAAGGCACCAGCCTGATAGTGCCCTTAGCCTCGATGATGTTCCTTTGTCACAGAGGGTTAGGCCCTCTGGGCCGAATGTGCTACCTCTAGCAAGGCCTCCTCAGACTAGGCCCCCTACCCCTTCTGGGCATGCCTCTGCCTAAGGAACGGCACCATGGAACCCTCACTTCATTCGAACAGACGGGTCGTCTGTAAAACCGAATGAGACCATGTTCAAGGATGGTCAGACCGCTATGGCATACTACAGGAGCATGTGGACTCCCAAGGACATTGAGGTAGCCAAGGGTCTGTCTCAGAAGGAAGTGTTCAGCCGATTTCCCTTATCTGCCATGGAGGTAACTTCTGCCTCTTAGTCAATAAATCTTTATACAGTCTTTACACTTAGTTTCTTCTAACCATCTGCTCGGCTTAACCAGTTGTCCTGTATATCTCTACAGACCCTGTACGGGATGATGGCTATGCAAAAGCAGGTTGAGCTTGTGAACGCCAAGGTTCGTACGTTCTCTGACAGCCTTAATGCAGTGAACAAGGAGAACGATGCTTTGGCTGCTCAGAAAACCGGGTTGATGGTTCAGCTTGGTAAGGTTGAAAAGGAGAGGGACTCGCTGAGGAAGGAGACCGACTCTCTTCAAGATGAGAGGAATGCATTGCAGCTCGAGAAGAGCGTCTGGCATACCGAGCAGGAATCCCTTAAGGCTGAAAAAGAAGAACTGCTACGCCTTCTGAGTGATGAGCAATCCGCTCGGATGGCCTTTGAGAAAAGGGCTTTGGACGAGCGCAATGCTTTACTCGACACCATTAGTAGGGTAAATGGTGGTATGCTAGCTTTGCATGCTCGGTTTTCCAGAGTTGGGGCCCTCAGATATGCTCAGGGGTTCCGAGAAGGTTATGCCGATCGTGTTCCGGGTGAGGGTCAAACTGGTTCTACCCCTGATGATGTTGACAGGGAGCTGGAGATTAACCCTCCGGGTATTTATGCCGATCCAAACTCCACCGCTGCTGAGGGCATATTTGATGAGTGCCAAGAGATTGCTTCTTCCCGGATCACTCCTACTCCTTCTGCTGCTCTGACTTTGGACATTCTTCCTCTGTCCACCGTGACTCCATCTGTTACTGCTGCTGAAGATAACCCTCAGCGGAATGATTCTTCTAACGCTATTGAGGGTAGGACTCAGCAGAACGATTCTGTCATTCAGCTCGACTCTCCTCCCCGT